AGTTGAGGAAAACACCCCACCTAGGGTGATGAGTTTCTGCATGTAAAAGAGATTCTGGTTGCTTGAGGTGTTGACTTGAACTTACTGAGCGTTTATGCTCATCCCATTATCTAATGTTGTTTTTCCAGGTGAAGTAAAATAGGAAGAGGATCCTGGTCTAGTCAACATTGCTCTAGAAGCATAAAGAAAAAGAAACTAAAGTTTTTGTGGGAGTGAAGTGTGATAGAGGTATTTAGGAACTTAAACATAGTGCAGCTGGAATAGAAAAATAAAGAGAGGTAGAAAAAGGGTATATCTTTAGTAGCAGAAACTGAACATGATACAATTGTATGAACATTTTTGGATTTGCCTTATTATGTTTCTCAGTTACATTTTCCTGATATGAATTAATATAAGTATTCATACACCGATATTCAGGTCGGGTCGTTACACTTTTGGCTTAGATACAATTTTTGTCTTTAAGCTATTTTTTTAGTTCGATTTAATTTCTTTCCTAATTTTGTGTCAAAATTAATCTATATATTTTTTAAAAAGTTTAAATTATTCTATATATGTCAGTAATTATTGGATAATTAAACTTGATTTAATTAATATTGGAAATTAAAACTTCAATTAATTAACAATAAAAAGAGGTAAATGTGAAACTACAACAATAAATAGAGAAAATGAAGGACAACAATAAAGAAAGTGAAGGTAAAACGATAACCTTTCTGTTTGTATAATAAGTTTAGGCAAAAGAGAAAATACAGATAAGTGTGAGGAAAAGAAAAATGTTGGAGACGTGAGGTGAAAAAAATTAAATGAGAATTATTAGTTTCAACAAGCTAATACATAACGAGTTTAGGGAATGAGATTTTATCTTGTGAGTGTTGTAAGATTTATGTTTTTTATATTAATAAAATTTTGAGTGTTTGTTTGATTATGAATTTATTCTCTAAGCAATTATAACGAAATTAAATTGTCAATATATGGTATTAAAGCGTAAGGTTTGATTAATATGGCTTTTAGTTTAATTTGAGAAGTAATGGTTATGACGAAATTTTAGATAATGGTTTTGCTAAAAAGGAAAAATCGTCAGCAGCAGGTTTACAAGACTTGGTTCGTAATCATTCATTAAATGAGAAAGTTTTATTTTTAATTTGTTAGTCTGTGGAGTTGTCGGTTCTAGAAAAAATATTACATACCAAAACAATAAAAGAGACTTAGAATATTTTACTTAAAACATATGAAGGTACATATCCAGTCAAACGAACACAACTGCAAAAATTGAAAAGGTAGTTCAAGCTAATGGAGCAATATAAAGATGAAAGTATTCATGATTATTTTTTACAAATTGAGAAGTTAATAAATGAGATGAAAACTAATGGAGATCAAATAAATAAGAGAAATGTCATGGAGAAGATCTTACGTACATTGTCAAGTCGATTTGACTATTGATAACAACTATTGAAGGGTCCAAAAACTTAGACACCATGACCCTTAATGATTTATAAGCTTCATTACAATCACGAGAGATGTGGATGTGTGAAAGGTCTCCAAGCACAATAGAACAAACTTTAAAGGCTAAATTAAATTTAAAAGATGAGACACCTAGATCATAACATAATCAAAGTGGCTCAAATCTTAGAGGCAGAGGAGGAGGAAATTTCATAACGACTTCAAGACAAAGAGCAACAGAGAATGAATCTTTTCAAGATAAGTATCGCATCCAATGTCATAAATGCAAAAAATATGGTCATTATCAATTAGAGTCTAGTAGAGAATGTTATGTAAAGAGATCAGGACATAGAGAAAATTAAGTTAGGGTAGCCCAAAATGATAGTATAGAAACTTTATTGATGACAGCTCATGATAGTAATGGAAGTAACAATAGTCAATGGTTATTAGACTCAGATTATAGCAATCACTTGAGTGGAAATAAGGAAGTATTCTCTGAGTTAGATGAGTCATTTCATTTTTCGGTGAAACTAAGCGACAACCATGAAGTCTCAATTTTAGGAAAAGAAAAAATTACCATTAAACTAAACAATGGGTCTATATATTATATTTCTGAAATTTATTATTTTCCTATTATCTGTCAAAACTTGTTAAGCGTGGGACAACTAGTAGAAAAAGGTTATGACTTATGTTTCAACAAATACGGATGCACTGTAAGTAACACAAAGAAAGGAATGATCTTGAAGACAAAGATATTATCCAACCATTTATTTCCAACGCAGATCAATTATGGTAATGCTTATAACTGTAATTCTGTAAGTATCGATGATAATTGACTATGGTATATTCAGCTCGGGCAATTGAATTTTGGGAGCATCAAATTTCTTGCAAATAAAGAGTGGGTTTCAGACTTACTAACTATTCAAGTTCCTAGCCAACTTTGTGAGTATTGTGTCTTAGGCAAGAAGCATAGAGATACATTCCCTACAAAGCAGGCATGGAGAGCCAAAAACCCACTTGAGCTTGTGCATTCAAACTTATGTTATGTGAATATTCCTTTTACTGGAGATAACAAGTACTTCATTACTTTCATTGATGATTTTAGTAGAAAGGTATGGGTATATTTTTTGAAGCATAAATCAGATGCATGTAGAAGTTTCTATATTAAAAGACAAAGTCGTTATTCTCTCAAAATTTTAAGAACTGATAGAGGCACGTAATATATTGCTTGTGATGATTTCT